ATATTACTTGGTCCCCTCTCCCGACGAGAAGCAATTGGAGCATGATGAGTAACATAAGACACTTTCTCTTGGTCTGTGTGCTGAACTCCCGGGTCCCGGCTTCTGCTGGGACTTCGGATTCGGGACCCGAGACTGCAATTGGGACACGTCAGAATGCGACATTCCCGTTCCGAACTATGTCGTGGCTGTGGCTGGCTGTTTTCTACCTCTATTGTACATCTACCAATAAAGCACATGCTCACCATCCACATTCTCTTCCAAAGAACTGCCAAAATCCATCAACCAAAATCAACTACCTTGCTCGTCTTGACTCGTGTGCCTCTAAGGTATCACAAAAATCTCCCGAAATTCCATCAGAGCGTGGACTTTGCGACTTCTTGCTGGGACCTCGCGGATGTTGAACTGTTGGCCAGCACCTGTCGTGTCCAAGTTCAACCCATCATACATGTTTATCTTTGGGGAGTTTGGACGCAGACACTACCTTCTTTGCGATTCATATTTCATATATCATCGACTTCCCTCCTCGTGCTGTGTGCCGGTGTAAAAATGAGATTCACAACAAAAGTAGTGTTCTCCTCCACTCCATCCCGAGTTAACCATTCTTTACCTGATCCACGAAGTGCCTTCTACGTGCACGCTCTTTCCTGCAAGATGGTGAAGACCTACTGAAGGCCGCCGGCCCCTATGATGGCAACAATGGAGCGCACAAACTGATGTGAGAAAGTTTGTGACTTCGTGACAGTTCTGTAAGGCGAAAGCATTGCAGTGCAGAGAAGAGTGTGGACTGAACATACTTTACGGTTGTTGGCAAAGAACTTTGCAGTTAGTCTCCCATCTTCAACCCTTCTGCCTTCTTTGTTTAGAGCAGAGATTCAGAGAACTTGGTGGTCGGCTTGACTTTCTCGTTGCATCAACTTTCTCCGTGATCCTGATGGGGATCTTCCAAGTCTTTCATTACTCCGACAATGCAAGAATGCATGATCACGGATCATCACACACGTGAAAGATGAGAAACGGATGAGGATTCGCTTGCTACGTACGCACTATGTAGCATCATGGATTCAGTCTCGTTCCACCCATAGCTGTATCCTTCTACCAACAGGAGTTAGCAAATACATGTGATATTTCACACCAGCATAGCCCATCATGCGAAGATAGCTTGTACGTGGCAATAGACCTTGATGACACACCTAACGACGTTTCAGGGTGTCGATTTGTCTCGATTCGTCACCTGCATTTACTGGGAATTTCACTCATATAATATCAAATTTCTATACCGTCCAAAATCCACAGAAGTGGATCTGAATGTAGGACATCTACAAGATCCAGGATAGAAGACAAGATGTAACAGTAAGAGAGTCTACCTTACAGTCAACTCACTTTTTAGAGTTTCGTCAATATGAGTCCTAGCCGGGTCGAAGTCGACAAAACACACAGTGCTGAAAACCATATATTAACATGAACACGCAATTATGGTCAGAGTCCTCCTTGACTATGTATGACAATCAGTAAGACAAACAGCGGCTTCTCCATGTTTTGACATCACCAAACGGGTAGCGGCTAATTCCCCTTAAATATTGTCTTTTCATCACAAGAAGACAAAGAGGGCAGAAAAAACATCTTACTATTGCAAGATAAAAATGTATTCCAATCAACTTAATGAAACATTTCTCACCTATGATACTAAACCAATACTGGGACAATTCTTTTAATCGGTAGCTCTACACGGAAGTTTATGTTTCATGACTTCACTTTGTAACTTATAGGAGAATACCCTTTGTGCTGTTGATCCGTGGCATACTTTACATTCTAACCAAAGTTGGTCCCGCGGGAGTTCAGAAAATACACAGCAATAGCCTTATCTGCTTTGAATATTTCGAAGGACAGCATATACGCAAGTCAGTCCGTTTACTTGCTGTTAATTTACTTCTGGTCAATCTGAACCGGCCAAATTTTGATGAGCTGAACTGGTGGATTTCATCTAAACATATGAGGCAAACTTCGTCTAACCCTCCCAACGTGTAAACCAGAAAATCGTCACCATTAAATCCTGATGGAAAAGCCATGGATTGACCGATGAGAACTTCCATGGATACCAGACGTTTCTGTAGCTTAGAGAAGTTGGTTCTGGCCACACGGTGGTTGAGAGAGCGTAATGTGACACAACCTTTGCAGCCAGTTGTGCACATGTGTCGCCAAGATCAGATTTCTGGAGACTATGCAATCTCGCACATGTGGATGGTGGAAAAGATTGTACTTGGGCGTACGCTTCCCGCAGTATGATGAATGTTGGTGAAGAGCTCTTCGAACACCAAGAAGTCTTGAAGGAAGAGGGAATGCATGAACTTAGTTTCAGGCCTACGGCTTCGGAAGTATGAATTATGGCAAAAAGCAGTTCAAATCCCTAGCAGATCTCTACCAAAAAATAGTTCAAACACCTAGAATATCTTCAAGAGGTGGAAGGAAGTTGAAAAGAATGAACTTGAGAACAGGCCTTAGCCTCTTGAAGTTTGAGAAACTTTGAACTCTTAGAAGACTACCCTTAAAGAGGTCGAAACAAGTGGAAGAGCACGAAGATGGGTTCGGCATATGCCTTCCTCCGTCTGATTTTTGGCGAGGACAACTTTGAACACCTAAAACCTGTTGGTGGATGGAAGTAGGCAACTCGTGCCAAGCTTATGCTCAAAACGTCTTACTGACTTTGTGAAGAAAATTCCGTGCTGTGAGTTGAATGATGTATGATCATACGAATTTCGAAGAAGAGTACCAAATTCTGTTTGTGTGTGTATGTGGCTCTTTTTACGATTTGGTCATGGCTGTTTCTGAAGAAGAATATTGGTCGGACACTGACTGGACCCTGCAGGGCCCAACGGTTACATATCGTATGTAACCGAAAGAAAAGGAGCTTTCTCCATAGGCCTTGGTTTTGAACTGAACATGAGAAGCTACAGAAACAAAGTGCAGGGTTTGCAGCAGGATCTTGTAGATGTGCTCATTTTGGTTACTCATTGCTAGGAAGGATTGTGCGCATCAGTCTCCAACAAGTCTGGAGATTGGGTTACCTGAGGAATTCATGCAGGGGAGGGTCTCACTGGTATTCGATGCCACTTGTCAGCTGAAAATTGGACAGCCAGTTCAGAACTTCAAGTTTGAAAGAAAGGCATTGGGACTTTCAGGAAGCTTGATAAAACCATCACTAGTAGTACACTTATTGATTCAGGAATTCAGTCTAGGTTGTCTTCCTCTATTATAAGTAGTGATCTTCATCATTGCAGTGGAATACGCACTCTCCTACACATTATAATTCCAGAGGACGAGAATGGATTTCGTACAGTATAATCACTACTACATAGTCTGCTGTTGACAAACTATAAACGGAAAAGTCCAAACACGATATCTCATCATTTCATCTCTGATATGACCAGGAATCTCAATGGCCGTAAGTACAGCTGCATGGGATGACAAAAGTGTGGCAAAAATTATATTATGCGGGCTCAAACAAACAGATCGGCAGACTGCGGATGGTGGAAATGAACTAGTTCTGTCGTCTACAAGAGCTGCCATCTAATATTATATATTATTATAGAAGCTCTGGCAGTTTGTAGCAGAGCACAAAATTTATTGGATTCTAATGGAACTGAAATTCGACAGCTACAGAGCGCAACTCGACTCACCTCATCTTCTGCTGCCTAGGCTCTAATGCTGCAGTGCCCATCAAAGGAGAGTGCAAGTGTATTCGTGTAATGTGGAAACTTACCAAAAGCTGGAACAAATTCTTCTTGGCTGTTAAGTTAAGCCCGTCCTTAGAGAGGGTAGAATTGGTATAGAATGAAAGGAACTATGTGGCATTGAATTGAATACAGTAAGCGTGACCATTGCAAGCGCAACTAACAGAACGGGCGAAGTTGGTCTCGCGAATCCACCTGATGCATGTTGACGTCATATATGTATTTAGAGACCCTTTGACGTATAACGAGCTTCAGCAGAGATGGAACACATACATTCTCCCAAGCTCCCAAGGAACAGCGCCCGATCCGCTTAAGCTTCCCAGCTCTAGATTTGTCTGCTTTATGCGTCGCGTCACCGCGCTGAACTGGATCTTCGAGGTCCCCCAACACGCAACACTTCACTTTTCGGCGTTAGAAGATCCAAGGATTCCACGGATACATTCCCCTGTAGGGCCTTCAGACTGGCTAGCTGGAATCCCCGATGATCAAGTGGCAAATTTGACTCTTGACCTGTCGGTGCTAGTTCTACTTCTGCGCGGAGCTGAAGGGGAGAGACCGTGGTTCGAGTTTCAGCCCCAATTCCCAAAGTTTAAAAGCCAATCATTACGTGCGATCGTCAGCCGGAAGCTGAAATCCTGCAACGCGGAGTAGGCGCATGGCGCAGAAGTGACGTCGTGCTCCAGGTCGGGGTCCCGCGGGGAGCAAGCCTCGGGTGCCGTCCACGCGCCTCGAGAATTTTGGCTTCACAGGATAAGACTAAGATCGCGCTGGTGCTCTAAGAGCTGCAAATAAGTGCCCCTGAATTTGGAGGGCCTTCTTCTCAAACAGACAACAGGAGCAATCTCCGTAACGCTGGGGCGCTACGTTGAACACGTCCTCCAGTAGATTCTTGCATCACTCTAGAATCGAAAGTACCGCGATTAGCAGACTTTCACCCAGCTCAGTGCGTCTGTCTAGATACGCACCTTTGTTTGCCTTGTCTCCAGTTTTCTTTTGCTTGTACGTGCTTTTCCGGAGCTAAGATATTTCAGCTCTGGCTGTTCCTCGGTAGTCGTTCACGTGCAGCAGCAAGCGTGCGAACGGGTGGAGTCCATGGAGGCATACGCAGTCGAAATACGGATCCTGTTGTCAAAGAAGGCGTCATCAACGTAGTCGTTTTGGAACGGTTGCAATGGAACCGCAGTTGCCGCTGCTTTCCATAGATGTACGTTTTCAGAAACCAGAAATCAAAAGCAGATTGCAGTCACTGCAGCCCGGAGTCCAGAGTGAGATTCAGCGCCTTGAATGAACCACTTCTGAGTCATGACAGCCCAGCCCAGCTGAGCTGCTGTAAGAGCGAATGTACTCCCGTATACACGTTTTTTGCGCCTGTCCTATGTTTCCCTGTCCTCTGTCAAGCATTAGGCTCTGCTCGAAACCACCTTGTAGCTGCAGCAACCTTCTCTGGGCATGCGGTAGGTAATGTCCGACCGGAGGCGGTGTGTCCATTCGAACTCTAAGCAGCCAGTGCATCTCACAACCACTGTACTTCTCCGGGTCCTGACTTTTCTTTCCCTGATCTGAAATCGAACGGACCGGCACCGAGCTTTGACCAATCAAGTTGCAGCAGCTATACACAGATTGCGATAAACAAATTCGGTTGACTATACCGAGTGTAGGAAAAAAACGCGCTAAACAAATGACAACCCTCGTCTCTGCTGATAAATTTTATACTGGTACTGAGAAAAAGCAAAACTGTAACACCTTCCTAATCGCTGCTAAATGCGGAACTCAATCACAAAACTTTGACTGTAGATTGGAGCGTTTTTGTGAGCTTCCGCCGTAAATGTCTTGGCCCTTGTTGTAATGTATTGACTGCGCTCGAAGAAATAGTTCATGTCAGCTAGGTTGCCATCGAGAACTTGCGCTTCGATAGCACTTTGCAAGAGTTGAAAGAACAGTTGAGTGACTTTAGTTCAGGCGGAAAAATTGCTTGAAAACGGCTTTGGCTGAGCTGTGCATACATTTCATCGTGTGTGTGTGTGTATATACATATACACACGTTCGAATAGATATGGAAATAAATTTTCTGAAGATACTGGGTAACTCGCTTGTTGACATGCTGACACGCAAGTCTCAATACTGGAGCTCGCCTTGCCTGAGCAGTGGTATTCCGTCTAGCACGTAGAGGATCTGAAGCCTGCCTTGGACTCACGTCTTGTCTTGTCTTGTAAACCCGGCCCTCATGACGAATCCTAATACTTTATTGGCAGTGCATGTCTGATTTGCCCATTCCAGTCAGTCAGTTGCCGAGTGTGAGACATGTACCTATGTCTTTAAGTCAGGAGTTGCAACCTTCTCGGGTAATGTCGCTGCATGGTGGTGACCAAACAAAACTAGAGAGCGAGGACTTGAGAGGATATGTAGAGCGGTAGAATATAATAGTGTCTTCACCCAAAGAGTTGCTTGCAATGCTGAACAAACTTGGTCGCTCTTGAACTTTGTTAAACTGGTCTCACACATTCCTCGACTATGTATACAACGTTTTTATAAGCTTAATGTAAGATAATGATGCACTCTGGTCCAGTTGTCTAGGTTTCCTTGTCTTAGTCATGACAGCTTCCAATATCTCGGAAGCTGTCATGAGTTGATCTGCATACATGGTTGTTCATACATTCATTGCGTGCACTTAGGTTCGGTACTATGATGAACATTGTGTGTAGTAGATCCCTGTTGTACCTCGGTTGATACAAAGATAAGGAAAAAGTTGTTGGAAGAGAGTTACAAAACGCCAGGTATTAGTAGGCTTCCTTCTTGATATTGAAAACTTTCTTTCCCTTTCTTTTAGTTGAAATTTACAAGAAACCTTTTTTTTATTGAGCAACTTCGCAATCACCAAATATAACTGATAAAATAACATAATGCTTGCATTAACCCAAAAGAAGGTTAAATATGCATTTATATGAAGAGTTGAACTCCTTTGACACTATATTTCTTGTGTCGCGATGTATCATCTATCGAACTCCTCCTGCATCTATTTTAAGTGATAAATTATGTACACAATCATGAATTTAGTTCATATGTTACTCTGTATGCACTTTACACTCATATGAAATCTGAAACTGATAATATATCCATATACTATAGAAGTAAATTCGCGCCCAATTTCAAGTGAAGGATAAAAATATTCACGTTCGAAAGAAATATTTGAATCTTATTCACCAAATTTACTCACATCTTAAAAAGTCCTAGCAACAACTTTAAACCTCTATCTGCAAATATCATTTCTCCTACTTCTTCAGCTCAAATCACCTTGCTCAATGATGATTTCACGTGCATTTTCACTCACTTGTAGTTCTCAAATGTCTTCTGTTATTTTATGTTATTAAGTAGCATTATTCGTTGATGAAATTTGTGAATAGTTTTGAAAATGTCTGGTCTTACGTTCGAATAATTACTATTGTTCATGATCATCTAAAGTCATGTTGATTATTTTGATTTTGTCTCGTCAATCCTGGAACAAATGATTTGTGCACACTTGCTTGCAAAAATATTGCCTAAGTTTTATAAAGAAATGATCTTTTAGGATTCACTAATTGATGTAATATTGCTTTTTAATTTCACATAAATTTGAATTGAACATTCTTGTAGAGTTTTTTTAAGCTTGATTTTAATATTTTTCACTATTTTTTATAGTTTTATTACTCTTAATTACGTTATTTCAACATAGTTTAATGAATATGATTCCATGAATTAAATTCATGTAATATTCTTTGCCTATTAAAATAATTTTGTAATAAATTTAACAAAATTTCAAGCAAAAAAATTATTTATCATATGTCTTCTCAAATTTGAATACAATGTAGATTAAATCAGCAATATTTTAAGTCTAAAAAAATCTTTATAATATTATTGACATACGTCTTCTTATGATAAAAAAAAAATTGATTTTTTTTGTCAAAAAGTAGATGTGAAATGTTTTCACAAAATCATAAAAATATAAGCTGATAAAAAAATGTATTTGATGAAACCCCTTTGGAAAGCAAAACATTTGCAAAGAACTCAAACGCTTCATTTTATTATTGCGATCCACAACAAACTTGCAGCCCATTGTCATCTACAAAATTTTGTAAATGCTTTGCTCACAGTTCCGTCATCCATGTTTTTCAAGTCAATTCTTGCATTCAACAATAGATTATGATATGATGTATGAAGAAAATTGCGTCCTACTACAAACTCTTGTGTTGGAATAACGAAGCAACTTAATATGACAGAATTGATATTTGCAAATTTCATACTATGGATTCATGCAAAATTGCCACATGATACTAGTAGGCTACTACGGAAATTAAAATGATCAATATGGCACATATCAATTCTTCAAAAGTACTCAATGTAATGACAATTTTTTCTAACTTTCCTTACTAAAATCATCATTATGTTAACACCATGAACAATAATTTGAAAATAAAAAACGTTACAAAAACTTGTATGAAAACACATGGATGACGATGAATTGAAGGGCCGTCGGAGGTATTCCATCAGATAAAATGAATCGATTAGAATATCAGCAAATGTTTTGCTTTTTGCAGGTGTTTCATCAAGTAATTTTTTCAAGCTTGTATGAACATATCATGTGTAAAGTTAAATATTTGTCATGATCATATGTAGGTTTGCAAAGCTATATAGTTTGCGATGTGACCACATACCTAATTGGATGTGTTTTCATACATATTAAGGTTTGAGTATGATCTAGGACTACTCATGATATGATTCACCCTCATGTATGTGAGGGGTATACTATATGGTGTGATTCGAAGAGCGGTTAGTTCTTTCAGTTGAGACTTAAGCGCTGAAAGATAGTCGGTTTGTGAGTAGCACCCAGATATCAAAATTCTCATTAGCATTGGCATGCATTCTCATAGTAGTAGAGTGGATTTGGCTCGACTGTTTGTGATATTCCATTCTGTGTTTTAGGACAATATATCTATCGCGTATTGTCACTTGAAGAATTCGAGTGCGAGAGTTGCAAAAAATTGATGAGAAGTTAGATATGGATCTATTCTACCATCGCGTGCAAATAGAAATTATTTTTGTCGAGCAATTTGAGAAAAATCTCAAAATTTGAGACTTTGATTTGTATTCAACGAGTTTTCTTCGAAGTTTTTTTCCGGTTGGACAATGGGTTTGTACTCGGTGTACTTCGAAGGGATAGATGATTTGATGTTCATATATTTTGAATTGCAGATAGACGACTAACGATAAGGCAACATAGCATCCGACCTACTAGTTCACCCACCCATGAAAGTGTATAGCATGTAATTGTAGATATGACTACTTGGGAGTCAGAGTGACCTGACTGCTAGTTAAGGCGACGAGTTGTGATACACTTGTATTTGTGTATGCTCTCATCTACGATTTGTATGTATGATATTGCAACAATATATGTTGTATGACGATGTGTATTTGCACGACAAATCACATAAATGCTAAAGTTTACAACATATGCCAAATCTTCACTTGGTACAATACTAATTTGGTGAAAGATCATATAGGTAGTTGATTCATTGAATCCTTACCAAATTTTCAATCTAGCCAAAATAATAATAATATTTTTTCCCAATAATCAATGTTGAATTTCATTGTATACAATCCTCACCACATTGTCAACCTAGCCAATAAACGACTATACTTTTCCGAAAGTCAATATTGAGTTTCATTAGATACAATCCTCATCACATTGTCAACCTAGCCAATAAACGACTTTCCTTTCCCGATATTCAAAGTTGAATTCCAAGGGATAAGTCATAGCGACATCACATCATATGAATCTACAATTGTAAGTACATGCTCTCATGATAAAACTATTACTATAAGCTTGGACATTCATGATGATGTGTATGATGCTCGTGCAAATACTAAAACTTCAGAAATGTCAAAATTTGGACAAAGACTTTCTCCACATTCTTCTTGTGCAAGTCAGTATCAAACGATGCTTACTCCCACAATATAAAGAACCGTGCAGTAGAATCCAACAATTGAGTTGAGAAACCTTTTCTGAAGGGTTATCTTACAAAATACATCACTATGTGGCAATTGTGTGCTCTTTATACTATTCTAGCAAACAAATTCATCACATTGAAGTTGTAGTCGCTTGTACATTCTCACTAGAGAATGTCATAACCTTAGATTCAACCCCATTGGCACTTTCATATGTAGTAACAATCAAAACCCCCTCAATGTTGTCAGAAAATATGGTTGTCAAACCTAACATGCGATATAGTGGCAACGTTGTTCACACAGATGTGAATTTGAGAATGAACATGATTCTATTCTGAACAATGTTGTGAATGATACCTCCAACGCTGTTGACGTTTGGAAATTATTTGCTCCATATTCAGATATAGGGATACTATAGTACTGTCCGCAAAATCCATGTCGAAGTCCAGGACATGGAACTCATCATATTCAGGTATTCAGCGGCATGTGAGATAAGTCCACGATCCATGAGAGAAGTACTCCTTCACTTGTGAGCCAATGAAAATTTCTCCCCAGCGGACAAGTATGGTCAACTTGGCAAAGAGAACTGTCGACACTCGTACCAAGTACACAGGTGACAGACTGGTTGATATAGCAGATGACATTCAGTATCATTTTATCTCATACACTTTTTGAACTGTATCATGTATTGAAGGGTCCTTCAGCCTCTCTCTAATTAATGATCGCAACGTAATTTTGGTTGAAGATTTTATAAGATGTTAATGTAAACTTCTCAGCAATCTTCTCTTGTAATTAGGTCAATATTAACTATTGTGATTAAGTTTGCTAGGAATTTAGATCCATTGCCTGCAAATATCTACAGGATGACGGTTTGATTCGAATATCTGTAGACTACTCTGGTGTGCCATGAGAATATCGGGAGTGATGAGTTACAACTCATCACTTCCATTCCTTAACACATACAATCCACACACTTATCCCGATGAATCTGTACACTCGCAATATGTAATAGAACGTTAAACGGTTGACTGATTTTGATTGTCCAGCATATCAATGTTGCACGAAGAGTGTACTTACTCTCCCATATGGCTCATAGCAGTACATTCTCTCCACTAAATATTTTACTACCCTCGTAGCCTTCGACATGAAATCAGGGAACATGTGTTATTACAACAAATGTACGTATCTGACCCAGTATACTAGTTGACGAAAATATTACTTCGATACTATTTTAGTCACTCATCCCCCGTACCACTCGACTTTTGGCTCGACATGTATATTTGGATTTACATTCACTCATTCATACCAGTTTTCAAGTCATACTCATGTTTTCAATAATCCTTGCAGTAGGGGAGCCATATTCCATACATCATACCTTTCTGTCTACAATCCGGAGTCTTCACTAGCATTAAAGTTCGATTCTGTTGTGCTTGAGTTATTCAACCAAGACACAATAAGAAATAGTATAACATCACCTAATATTGATGAGTCTCAACACGACGTGTTGATAGACTCCCCTGATACTGCTTACGATATGAAGAAAACACCGGAGATGTTTTGTGCAAATCGAGAGGAAACTTCGATACAATCCTCATGACAAACGTTCCGTGTGGGAAGCGGTCAATAATTTACCTCGTTTCATGTGGCTTGTCCTCAATAAAAAATTTGTAAAACCCCTGGTCAACGGCCAGACTAAAACCTAGGACAGGACAACCAGTACTAAATATCATGACAAACACTTCCAACTAATTTAGTTGGTGGAGGAAAAATGAGAAAATTCCAGATGCTCTGACTTATATAAAACTTCACATTCTGAAGAGCGTCCAGAACGATTATCCTAGTTAGATGTCAAGCGATAATCTCCGACACTAACCGTGTACTACGACGCAGTTGAGAGAAAATGATGCCGCCATATATGTTACACCTCTTGACATGTGCAAAATCTCTTCCCTCCAGAACCTTGGAAGGTGAAAGAATAGAATCGAATGACGTACGATCCACAAACAGAACTACCACTGTCTCCGTTGTCCACCTCCACCTCGACCTCTTCCACCTCCATATCCTCCTCCTCTTCCGCCATACCCACCTCTGCCGCCGTAGCCACTGATTGACAACAGACCGAGCAATTAGGTCTTATAATCCACTCCTCGAAACACCGTACAGTTTTGCGCAAACAACATCAACTTCAACCTAAGGATCCCTTGCATTTTATATCAGACCAGATCTCAGTAACTACACTTACCGGGACTGGTTATTGCTTTCGGGACGGGCTACAAGTTCAGGTAGCTTCTCGCACACTTCAATTGTGAAACCGTTTTCATCGCCGGCACCTATATATAATGACCACGGCCATACATCATACTCGACGCACTTAACAACGATATATGGTACAAGAAAAATTAAATCCAACAATAAAAGCACTGGCTTCTTCCAAACCTTACGGTCATATCAAGATGCCGCTTATCGATACTCGACTTACCTGAAACAATTTCATCGACGAGCTTCGGTGGCACGTCAAAAACAGCTCCTTTCCCGTCAGCAGTGAGCTGCATTCGCCTCACTTCTGCTATCGACTCTTCTGAGAGGAATTTCCTAAGGCAGTTGAAGGCATATCTGGAATATCCAAACCGACCGCAATGCGTTAACTCAACAACATCCAGTTCGCAAGCAGGAGAAAATTGTGATCGCAAATATATTAACAAAAAAATTATCACATCACACACTCCACCACTGGGGAAGCATGAAGATATACAGTATGATCACCGATTGCACAACTTTATGCACCACAAAGTAAAGGAACATACGTCGGAGAATATATCGTCGATCCCGCTTGAAGATAAAGGGTTGTTGCGTCGTCCGTAGATGTAAACAAGGATCGCCTCTTGACATCAGTGTGTCCCTGATCAAGGAGAGATGTGAGGATCAATCCCCAAATCAATAACTACATTCGTCTAGTCTAAAACTACAATCATGTCCCATACTTACAGAAATTTTGGCGAGGGCCTTGGCGATGACATCGACGGCAGTTAGGCCACTGGAGTCCAAGAGCTCTTGAGCAGCTACTCTGAACAGAGGAAGTACACTGCGAATAGAAACCAGCATAAAGTCAATAATGGTTACGACTTAAGATGACATTCGATTTTTCGGCCGACACCAGAAGACTACAGAATCGAGAAACAAATGTCCGCCGAAAGTCCTCTGTTACAAAACTTCAAATACTACTCACAAACATGCGTCAAATACCTGTCTGACACTTCTCGAATACTGTCAATTGAACTCGTAGCTGATGCTTTCGCTATGTCAGCCGGTTGAGGTGCAGCGATGCGTTCAAACTTGAACCCAGCTTTTCTCTCAATTTGAGCAATCATATACTCCTTCTTCCGATCGTAGAGCATCACAGAGATTCCCAATTTTCCTAAGTTTCCAAAAGAAATGACCAATAGTTACTAATGTAGACAGAAATAAGCAGCACAACTCCACCCTATCTCGCACCGCAGTCCTTTCTTCCATCGGTAGCAAACATGCCCACAGGTCAAATATAGTTGCAGTGTTGACCACTTGCGTGCATTGTAGGCAGAGTTTTGAATGCCAGAAACACTCACCTGCTCTTCCTGTACGGCCTGATCGATGGATGTAAGTTTCTGCATCTCGAGGGGGCTCGCACTGCAACATCCACGGTCTTTCAGTTGAAGAGAAAACAAAATATTGAAGACTCCAAGGCCCTAGTAAAGCCTCAGTGATGCGTAACAATCCGTGAGGAATGGTACCTGAACTACAAGCTGGACGTCGTTAATATCCAGTCCTCGTGCAGCCACATCAGTCGCAACCAACACAGTGAACTTCGCAGAACGGAAAGCGGCCAGTGTTTGCTGAAAGAGAAAGTTACAACGTCAGTACAGCCGTCAAGCGTTACACCAGGTTCCACGTAACTCATGACTTGAAACAGACCACTTCGAAATAGAACCAAATCACCAGAGCAGTTTTGTTGCGTCTTCACATCAGCGAGAAAGATATTAGACATCAGGCAAGAAGGAAGAAAGAGTGTGATGCCGGAAACAGTATCAACCTCACGAACAGCTTGAGATATGTCCCCGTGAAGTGCCCGGGCGACTCCATGACTGAGAGCACCTGCTAACTCGGATGCGTCATTCTTGGTTTCCGTGAAAACGATGCAACGCCCACCACTGCCAGTAAAACATCCTCAGTTTAGTTTCTTGTCTGGCGTGATAAAACTTTGTGCACAATCAACGTCATCCACATCGGACATAAGTGAAGTCAGCGTAATTGTTACCTTCCATAACAACTGATAATGTCCGCAACCACCTGAGCTCTTGCGAAGTAAACACAGGGCATCAATAAATGCTTCACTGCAGCGCTTGCCTTCATCTTCTCATCTCCAACAAGATCGACAGTTGTCTTGCCTGGCTTCAAGAATCTCGACGCAATCTGCCAAAGTTGGACAGTTAACAACAATAAGATATAATTCAAAGCCATTTGAGTGGAACACTAATATTTCCTGTTAGATGCTTGTCATTCAATTTATAATGAAGGCACATAACGGAAACAAATCAAATGAAAGACGTGTAGGGTTGCTGACCGACAGAAACTAACCTGCTTCACCCATTCCGGCATGGTTGCGCTAAATAGCAATGTCTGAACAGTAGTAGCGTCTTCAACACCCCCTGTAAAACAAAATTCAGGCGTCTCGTTATGACACGACATAAGCTGCGACCAAACATTAATAAAGGAGGAATTTGGATAAAATTAAAATGGCAAATACGAGAGAAAAACGCAAGTTTAACAACAAAGTTTATATCCTGTGCGTCTTCAGCTGAATGTACAGCAATCCAAGACTGGTAAGAGCTGAATTTTACGACGAGACCCAACGGGGAGTACCGAGAATAGTCTCCACGTCATCTACGAATCCCATGTTCAACATCTCATCAGCTTCATCGAGAACACGGAATTTCAATGTCTTCAAGTTCAAGGATCCCCTGTTAAAATGGTCCTACATTCCACGACAACCAGAAGTCAGTACTACAAAGAACAGTACGTTCAAAATGGAAGTATCTGTACTGCACCCACAAATCAAGATCAAAACACTAACAAAAGCCAACATCATGTAGAATCCTTGATATGAACTACGAGTTGAAAATTACCTTGATTCGTCCGGGAGTGCCCACAACCACATCTACACCCCTGCGCAACGCATTCTCCTGAGGAGGGTACGGTGCGCCACCGTATACACAGACTGTGGTCAAACCGACAGACTGACCGTAGAACTCGAAGTCAGAGTGCACCTGGGAAGATCATTTGAGACTTCAGTCAGCTTGCAAAGATAAGAAGGTCCAAAACGGCATAAACTAGTTGCGAGCTCCAACGAGACAACTAAGCAGAAATCACATACATCCAATAGCGTGGCAGCCACTACATGTCGATAACGCCCGTAATGGAATTACGGCATCTAAACCAAAAGTGTCTACCTGCTTGGCTAGCTCGCGTGTGGGAGTCAGCACAATGACACTGGGTGACCTCCCGTAAGCCCTCTTGTTTGCTTTGAATTCGGCGTTATTGGTGAGAGACTCCAGAATTGGAAGCACAAATGCAAGTGTTTTTCCCTGACCAGTGCGTGCACGACCAACTAGATCCTTGCCATCGAATACATCATCAAAAGTTTGAGCCTGAATTGGGAAGAGAGCCTCGATTCCTTTCGACTTTAATTTATCTCTCAAGGACTTCGAAATCCTGAAATTCGTCACCGCAAGAGGATCTACTGCGCCTTCTGCCGCACCATCCTCGCTGTTTCCTCCAACCTTCAGCTTTTTGGAACCCTTCTCCTCGTCGGACAGCACCTTGTTCTTCTTCCTCTTTAAACTCTTGTCCTCAGAGGCCCCATTCGCGTGCACTCCGTTCTCGACTACCATGGGGCTAGGTGGAGACGTTCCATTCAGCTGTTCCTTCTTCTCCTTTTTCTTTTTTTTCTTTTCGGAATCAGACGCGGAGGGAGACGGAGAAGGAGCTACAACTTTGTCTGCAGATTTCAGCTTCTTCACCTTTTTGATGGGATCAGCCTTCGACATGGCCTCTACTGGGCCCTCAACTCCCGGCATCAGGATAAGCGATCAGGTGTCCGGACGATTTAGTTATCGAATACAATTGAAATCTAACAAATCAGCAACATCCAGCCAACAAAGTTCAGCAAGACGTCGATCTCCTCAAAGGCGCGACCTCGTTCCTGCAAGCCAGGCAGCGACCTTCGCAAGCTGTGACAATGCTGAGCACCACCGCAGCTGACACTTTCTTCTGCAAAGAAAGTGGAAGTTGCAGCGGCTCTAGCAGATGACCCGTGAAATGAAAACCCGAGTGAGAGAAGATGCGCACCACAGTGGAGGTTTAGGGCGACAGTCCCATTCTCCCAATGCTCGTCTTCTTTAGGGTTAGGGTTGTCTTCTCTTTCTCTTTCTCCTCTCTTCTCGTTCGTTCATTTCTTTGCCACCGTAATATCTCCCAGTCTCCACCACTGTAAACTGTCACCGCTATTATTATTCGCCCACTTCCCCCACTCGACCGCCTTTTCTCGGTTTAGCCTCACAGTTATTGGTCGAAGCCAACTTCCGCCGAGGCCTAGCGTTGCCCCTCACTTTTCCAAGAATCTGGGAGCGAATAGTGTATTTGGACTTTTGTGCTTCGTGGCCACTGACAGTCGATCGCTTGGGCCAATCAGCGGTGCATTTGGTGCAGGTCTTGGACTCTCGGTTTACTTCCAGAGTTATCACTTGTCTGTCACCCTGTGTTCGTCTGGAAACTAGACGGCTTCGAGGTTTCGAGCTGCAGGACTCTTCCAGCTCTTCAAGGTATAATCAAGATTCTAGCTTCCTCAGGGCCCAGTCACGAGTCCGGCAAATGTAATGTGGTTTGAAAGAGTCCTCCTCTGAAGCCATCTGGAAGATTATTGTCTGCGCGTTTTTTCCCTCAATCGTGGAATGGCGTCTGCATTGATCTCCATTGGAGCCAAAACTGCTCACGTCAGGTTTGTCAAAATTGATAGACAACCGCGAAGAGTGCTATTTTCCCATTAAATCGGGGCATGTTCCTGGACTCGGCGCGTTTGAAGCTATGTTCGCTGTTTTTAGGTTACTATACAAGGTGTTGCGCTATTCGCTGCGTTTCTACGTGTCAGTAAACACCTGGGTACTGTACCCAGTCAATTCATGCATGTCTCCCCTTCACACTGGTACAGAAAACAAAGCCATCAATATCCCACAGGGCTTCTAGGTTCAAATTACTTAGCACTTAGCGGACCTCAGTGGCATCTTCTCCTTCATTGCTTTTCATCTTTTCAGATACTTATCCAAAATAAAGATATATAAGAACGCAATCGAGCAACAACTAGCCCTGTTATCTCCTTAAGTAGGGTAGAATTCTGAGCGGAATTCATCAGTTCAGGTGAAGGATGACACACTAACTACTGAGCTGCTTTGAATCGAATCAGATAATTCTTTACTTCGATGAAACCGTCCAATAAGACGAGCAAAAGAGTGTGTTTAAAGTGAATTAGAATAACACACGACAAACACTAACTAAACACCTACTCTCTACCTAACCTCGGTGCTAAGAATCTGCCAAGTCGTCTCTGGCGTAAACTTGTACACCACCAACATAAGTAGCCATTACCTTGGGCATCGTTTCAGCGGTCGACATCAGCAGATTTTCAGATAAAACTACGAAATCAGCAAGCTTTCCCACGGCCAACGAGCCCACATCTTCATCCATGAAGGCGGCATGTGCAGCATTAACTGTGTACCTGGCACATTCAAAGTGGAACCAAGCAGCCACACGTCCAGGTAGATGTCAAGTAAACATAAGTCAAATTTCACAAGAAAACAATTTTCTATGTCCAGAAGACTTTCAGTGGCCATAGTCAACCCACCCTTTCAAAGCAGCTTCCACAGGTATTATCTCTGAGTCAATAAAAGGTACAGTCCATCCTTTCGGAATTCTCCTCACAGCTGCCTGTATTCCCCCTAGGGCGTCAAGAGGTGCAACCTAGAGACACCACACGAACGAATAAGCCATTCCTATATTCGAAAAAAAAAAAAACTGAAGATTAAACTTTCTGTTAATTCATAGATTGGAAAAATGAACATATCGACTTTACATCTATGATGTATTGCATCACCAGTACATTCAATCTTGCGAAGTCCCCTCTGGTGACGCAATTCCACGTACAGAGAAGCAGACAAGATTTGGCAACAACTTAACAAAACCATACGTCGACACCTACATTCCAATCTGAACCCAACGCAAGTATTGTTCCATTTGTGAGCAGAGAGTTGAAAAGGTATGATCCTTTCGCTCCTCGCTCCTCTCCAAGTTTTTGCTTAACGTAAATCGCATCGTCCAGCAAATGCATCGGCTGAGATTTTTTAGACAGTACAGGGTCAGTGAGCTTGCACAAGATGAATGTAGTTTCAAGCCATGTAACTTCTCAGAAGAGCAAGTAAAAGCATATAAGAAACTGCCCTCTCCAGCATGTGCCTGTCCTAACGTGAAGACCACAGGTTCCGCGCCCGAGCTAAGAGTTGCTAGTATGAAGAGAATAAGAACTGGCAGAAACGGTTGAACGTAGGAGGAAACAGCGAGAGTCTGCGTTGTCGTGTGGTTTTTCCCTGAAATAAGACTAGTCGGACTTTTCATCTCAAGATGGAAGGTTTGGTAGAACATTATTTTCATGTCTCAGAGCAGAATTTCCGTTGCCGTTGGTTGACTGGCATAAACGAAAATGCATAATCACGACTTTTGTCTTTTAAGTAACAACCCTATTTAACCACATGATTAGGGGTTGCTCTTTCATACATGGAAAGCCAGACAACAGATGTCTTGCCTGCACTGATGCTATGACGCCACTCGATGCAACCCGGGCAGGTCCTCCGGTGGTCATGTGCTGGACATGCTCAAGCTGCAAAGAAAGGAAAAAATTGTGTAATTCCTTGCAAAGCCAGATGCTTCAAAAGCTAAGCTATTCGGGAACTTCAAATGTAAATTAACAGCTACCTCTGAGATCAACAAACACACTAACCCTGAAGCGCCGATCTCGAGGTCCATTTGTAGCATTCATAATCTCAACAACAGACAACAAGTGATCAACAGCAGCATCACCAATAACATGGACTGCGATCTGTGAAAGAAAACCGAAAGCCCACACAGTTCAGCAGGAAAACTTAAGATAGGTATTTGAAATTGTCATTAGCAATCTTTCCAAGTTTTACAAGACTCACGAATTTACTTTCTATTGAAAAGAGAAATCATAGCAGAGAAAGTTGGAAGCATGGAGTCACCTGAAGACCCGCTTTGTCGGCGTCAATAATGGCCTTTAATAACCACTCTGGATCTACTACAAAGACTCCATGGTTGCTAGGATCATCTGCATAAGGCTGATATGACTCCACACTCAGCACGTAAGTGATCTCTCAAACCCTATAATAGAAACGATAGCCGATAACAAAGAGAAGGTTCACGCTATCTATCTCAAGACCTTAAATTTGAAAAGCAATTAAACTCTCCCTGATGGTCAGTATATATTCCACCTCGTGAAAAAGAGCGCTGGAGGATCCTAGACTCCCATCTGCAAATGCCTTCACTCCTCCAATGCGAAGCCATTGGCTTAAAATACGTCCTTTTTCTGCCACTCTTCCCTGTGATCATACACAATATAACAAGTTAAGAGTTTCAGTGAGAATAGCACAGAAAAGTCATGATACAAGTGGCAACAACTTTAGCGCAAAGCGCTTCGGTACGAGCCAGGCCTTGCTTCCCAGCGTCAATTGCGAGCACAAATGGATTCAACTTTCAAATCACTATAGCTCCTGTTCCAGGATACGTACTAGTGCATCCTCTACGTACTGACAACATTTGAAGTCTTGGAGTGAGTAAGAAAACCGACATACCGCAAGGCGAGCCCAAGTTTGTAAAGGCAGAAATGCCGACACTCTTACTGAGAGCTTCGCTTTGGAATCAGCCCAAAGATAGACATCTGAAAAGTCAATGGACGAGATAAGCCAGTGCTTCTTCACGATGAGTAACCAGAGCAGTTAATAAGGGTGAACTACTTGAATAGATCGACGTCTACAAACAACTCGCGTTGTTTCGTTAGAAATCAGTAGAACACAAAATCTCCATAAGCCCACTACTGACTCAGTCCGAAATATTCCACATGTGAAGACAATGGACTAAACATCAGAGAACTTATGCATCAGACTGATATATTTTGAGCTCCGTGACGGGTTGAAACCTCTAAGATCATTCCAGCTTTGTTCGGCTGGAACTCCGGGGATGTATGCCCCAAAGTCAACAACTGAGGTGATGCCCCTACTCAATGCATGTGTGCAGGCTCTCAAAAGTCCATCTCGACGATCTGCAAGTGAAGGCTGGGGAAGTATCCTGGTAATCAAAGCCATAGCACTCTCCGAAAGAACTCCGCTTAGACCTTCACAAAAAAAACGCAATTTCCAACCAAAAGAATGTAACAAACACCGAGCATTCTTCATGTTTACTTTCTTCTGGTAATACAAACACTTGTTTTTTTTTAAGACATGAACTCTTGACCTGGCATTTTTTACTCAAAGAGAATCATATTCAGGAAATACATGTCCTACTCATCAATCCTTTCAAAAATCATGACCCTTGTAAAATATGATGGACAGTCATTGTTATTTTCAACGATTTAGGTTTACAACCCTTGTTTAATCCTTTTGAGTTCTAACTTGTTGTGCAGTACTCCTCCATCTGGAATTATTGAGCAATTTGCATGAGAAAGAAGATAGAACAAATTGAAATTAAACTTTCGAGTGTCTACAAGTCAAACGAGGAGACCTCCTTCATTGTCTTTAACGATGATCCCTCCCTCAGGATCTGGAACATTGGTATCTATGCCTGCCTCAGCGAGGGCCCGCGAATTTGCAAAGCCCATGTGGCCATCCATACGAACCATCCAAACCTGCAAAAATATGTGTCAAAAAATTTCTTTTGCCTTTTCTCAGTATTGATAGTGAGTATTATTTGTCATGAACTGATCGCCCAAGCTAAGCACCCATTACTCTTACATAAAAGTTTAAAGGACACAAATATTAAGTTTCATTTACTTCAAGGGAAGAGGTGTACCTACAGGATTATCAGGTGTGACACTATCGATCCATGAAGCTTGAGGCAGATCACCACCCCAGTTATGGTGGTTCCAGTTATCTCCGATGATCCAGCTTCCTTTCTTTGTCACTGCAAGAATTGACAAGTTCCACAACCCTCATACATGCAATCATATCGGAGTGGGGACGACACGTCTCCGATCTCCCTACTCGTAGGTATAGTATATTCCTTTGAGACTGTGGCCATACAAAGAAGGAAGATTATACTGAATTAAGAAACACAACCGTCTACCAAATTATCAGACAGATGAATAATTCAGCAGGACAACAACTACTAGCATGATTGAACTTCCTAACCGCTTTCTTACATTTCATCGTTCTCCCCGCATCATTTACAGCAGGACATGAGTAAAGTTTTTCCACTACTTCCTCAACGTCGACATCATCAACTTCAAGCCAATTACACTGTTGCAATCCAATCCCTTTACCTTTCGCAAGAAGTTCAACCTTTTCCACAAAATCCGAGCGGCTTCGCACGTCTCTCATATTCACATAATTCATCTAACAACCACCAAAGTATCAGAGAACTGATGACAAAGTAAATTGCTCTACAAATAAGCTTTCAGATTTTAAAATAATGTATATGATGTACTCCGAATCAGCTAATATTGACATTATAACACTTGAAAGTCTTGAGTATAGACAAACCAGTGAACAGAATAGGAAATAAAAAATGCATAATTTCTGCAACTATAGGATATCTTCACAGCGCTACTGTATTGTTAAACAATAGAGTAGTAGAGCAGAAGTTATGCCTGAAAAGAAACCGTAGGGGACTTAACGTGCCTTAATTCCACTGGGTATGAAGTGCACATGCGAATCGACAAATCCTGGAGCGACAAATTTACCCCCTAAATCCACATACTGAGTTTCAGAACCAGCATTTCTCTGCAGGCGAAGAAGACATCAGTGCAAAGAACTTTAGATAAGCTGATAGCACAAAAAACCTGCCCGTTCCAATTAAGGTATATATCGATATTTGATTATTTTGTCACTGATATTAATTAATTAATTAATTGTCACATATTTATCACTGATATTAATTACCTCTGAGTGACTGTTCATATGATATCTAAAGAGCATTCGCCTAATATAAGTGCAACTGCAACTCTATCCAAACATGCTAACAACCCATGCTCTAGGCTATATTTGGGGATACTGCTTCTCGCGTGATTCAACATTTCAAAGCAGGAATCATGTAAAAGAGAGCGTAATTGCTCTTCAAGTGATAGAAGAAAAGTATCTATATATCAAGACATTCAAAATGGGTCGTAGACATGCTGAAGTATATTATGAGGGAATTGTCGAATATGAAGGACGGATCAACGTTCTTTTGAAGCATTGTGATATCAAACAGGAAACTGAAGTGTCGGACAAAATCAACACCTGCACTTCCCTTAGGGATCCAACACTCAAAATTCTGCCTCTTGATATTGCCAGAGAAGTTGCCCATGGCAAACTGGAATCACCAGTCCAAATGACTCCATTTGTCGCAATAGTTTCTGCCGTGGTAGCTCCAGTCAAGGAGTTCACCATAGCTGCACGAGGTAAGCCATGTAAGAAATTCAGCAAGAGCTGCCACAACTGAAGAAGTCGCTACTGATCGATCGTAACATGTTCATAGACGTACTACTTCCTCCCAAAGCTTTCAAAATCAGTTATATGGATCAGCATATTTTTAAAAATATGCTGCTGATCCTTATAAGTGATGCTGAAAGCTTTATTAGATGCATTACGTCCCAAGTAGGAAGCAGAATGCCCCATTCCCTTCAAGTGTAGAAATACTGTACAGGCTAGTCAAGACAAAGGAGCAATTTGCTTGGCTCTTTTCAATTTTGTTTATTTCATAGAGGATTGACATGGAAACATTCGACTCTACCAACAATCCTCAGATTCTGGCTGGCATACTAATTCCAAGAAAAACTAAAGGGACGATGCGAATGCCGGTGCACTGCTTACCATGATAGGATGACCATGAGAAACTGGAAGGAGCGGGTGCAAGTACGATGAAGATTGGAATCATCACCAGAAAACGAAGTCCCAAACACAAACGTCTCTGCTTGCGACCCATTGAAACTTCTTCGTGAATGCCGTTCACCTTCAGTCCGGTGTAGAGACACCGCAGCCAATTTTGAAATTCCAGAAGTTTGGCAGTGAACTACACTTCGAAATTTCTGGCCCGGTGTATATCTGTGCTGCACAGTTCATCTTGGCCACTGAGGGGCTTCTTCGGAGCTGGGACGACAATCTCCACAATCGTCGAGTTGAAACAGCTTTAGAGATTCCCCTGAACAGCAGTCAGTTCTGACATCAAGGAATCAGCTCCCGAACCCCACAACCTTTAACAGCATCTCCGGCATTTCGAACATCAGAGCACTGCACAGTCCGAAGGCTTCCGAGCCCCCAAAACCTCGGGGAATAGTCCAGACAGAAATTTTCTCTAAACAAATTCCGAACTCAGTTTATTATTCAAGGTGCACTCTGATGGTATGAAACATTAGTATCACTTATAGGACATCATGTAGTATCTAAAGATAGTTCAAGTGCTTTTCACTTTTCCCTCATAAACTGGTATTTACAATCTTCACTTGTATCAAGTTTTAAATTCACTCTTACATAAATTTGGAATACCTCTGTATTTCAAAGTCTCATATACGTTCTTAATTCGGCAAGATTTAGGCTATTCAATGTTTTCCCAAGCATAAATTATAGATTTTGTGTACCAGTTATTTTTTCTGATGGTATGAGTGTCATCTTTACAAATCATTAACACTACAGATGTTGCAAATCCGTTCATGAATTGATGTTGATTTTGAGTGTAAGACTAGTTATTTATAATATCATTGATCAAGTCTATTGTGTTTGCAATAGCGCGAAACTCATGTAAATACAAAATGCTATATGTGTAGCATTTGATTAGAGTTATTGCATATCTGTCTTTGGTTCAAGAGAGCAAGTTATTATAATGAATTTATAAGTGAAAGAGTATAAGATTATGATCATTTCAATAAAAGTGTGTGATAATATATCTATATATATATATATATATATATATTATAAAATTATACATATTTGATAACTTGGAGTTAGCAAACAATGTCTTCAAATATGGATGTTAAAGACAATATTTTTTTTATTCTTCTAGCAATGAAATTATATGAAACTGAATGTGGATATTGATATATTACAATAAAATATGTTTGTAAGATTATTAGAAATTATCATATCAATCAAAAAGAGTATTATTTTTATTTTATTGGAGTAGAAAACACCAGTTTCTTTAATAATCACAAACAAAAGAATGACGGCGATAAGAATATATGTGATTTGTCATTATTGGTCTGCCTACCTTGTCATTGGTTGAAAATTCTTGTGAATTCATCAAACCTCACATAATACTTCATAAAAGATTGCTTCAACCCATATAATGATTTTAACAAACTATGCATCAAATTTTTTGACTTTTCTTCTCAAACTCAATTGGTTGTCTCATGAAGATTTGTTTTTCTAGATTAGCATACAAGATGATGTAACTATATCCAACAGATTCATAACTATATTAAATATTGCAACAAATCTACATATAAGTAAAATTGTAGCATAATTTATATTCAATGAAAAAACTTTGTTGTAGTTCACAACTCTCTAATGCAAAATTTCTAGCCATCAACTTTACTTTCAAAATTTCTCTCTCGTCATCTACAAGTTTGTTTTTTAGTTTGTATTTACATTTGCAATCAATCAAATATTGATTTTTAAAGCTCTAGTAGTTTAATGATCTTCTTATACATCAACAATTGCATCTCTTGTTACTCAACAACATTTTTTCCAAGCTTATTGACAAAGATTTAAATTTCTCTTTAAGAAGAAGGTTCTACTTCTTCTAAGATGAACGCAATGTTTTCATCATACTCAGTATCAATATCAAGATTTTCAAAAATTGATGAATCAATACATAAGTCATACATTACATGAGCATTACCAATCCAATTCGATGATCTTCTAATGAAATAAAAATATTAGTTGATCTCTATTTTTTGGTGCAAATATTTGAAACCAATCAATCATAACTTACGCTATTAAAAACTACTCTTAAACAATTTGATTCATTTGTATAGAAGATTTTTCTTATGTCACATCATTAATCACATAATGATCAATCTACCTCATCAACATTTGTAGTGAGTGAAGATTTGTACTTGTTGGTATGGAAGTTTTGAAAAAAATCTTTTTCTCTTTTAATGAACTAGATTCATCCAAAGAAACAACTCCACTAAGCTAACTCTTCAAGTTTACTTTTAGATCTTTTAAATGTAATATTTCAAGAGATTTCAAATTTTTTCACATATCAAGTATTAATCTGACTTGAGTCAATGTTTTTTGGATTCAAGTCAAATTCAATACTTTCAATTTTACAAGGTTCATCATTCATCATAAGAATTAAGGCGTAAAATACTGAAGAAGTTTTAAAATATCTGTAATGTAACAAATGTGATAAAAAATCTATGTTTAATATTTATACGTCATCAACATTTCATCATAAATTGTAAAATTTAAATTCTAAAGCATCACCAACATTTTTGTTTGAATCATAGAATTCATATTGTCTATCATCAGCAACATTTTTTTGGACATATTTGCTTGATGGGACCCCATCCAAACGTAAATTACTTGATGGGATACATCAAGTTTTAATTTACCTAATGGGACCTCACCGACGATCCACATCACATTGTTCTAGTATGAACAGACAACGGTGCGTGAGTCACACTTTGTGATACCTGTCGTGCGAATACGTATCGCCATACATCCTACATCGCTGACATGCTACTTACATACACATATGCACACATACACACATATAAGGTGCGAGATAGAACACATTCGAATGTCACAACTGAAATAAACGGGAGATTCCCCACTGGAATTCCTGTCAGTCGATTACCCTACTGGCAAAATCGTCACCGTCACAAACATAGTCAAGCCCAACCCACTCCACACTCGGAGATTCCAGATCTGACGCTCACGGGCACTGCTCCCAACGCGCTAGGCTCGACTCAAAGAACTGACGTTCTTCGAGCCGTCTTTGACCTATATCCTACGACCTGAAACTCTAGGCTCGACGCTATTTTTAGAAAAACATCAAAAACTACATGACAGCTGTCGTGCGAATACGTATCGCCATACATCCTACATCGATGACATGCTACTCACATACACATACGCACACATACACACATATAAGGCGCGAGAGAGAACACACCCGAATGTCACAACTCGCCCCCCTAGCTGGCGGTTAGGTCCCTCTGACTCCCAAGTAGCCCTATCTACAACTACATGCTATACACCTTCGTGAAAGCGCGAACTAGTAGGCCAGGTGCTATGTCGCCCCATCGTTAGTCGCCTATCTGCAATTCACAACATGTGAAGATCAAGTCATCTACCACTCTGAAGTACATCGAAGACAAACCCATCGTCCAGTCGGAATAACATTAATAGGTGGAGTCAGGCACAACATGTGCCATCCCCTAGAACACCTATCACACACCAACATACGGGCTGCCTGACCAGTGGACCCACATAGCATGCACCTCAAGCCATCACGTACTATTGCTAAGCTTGGATACATAGTACCATCTATGTTTGGAAGGTGGCATGGCGCACAATTGCGCACATGATCCTTCCAAACAACGGCGTCACGACCCTTCAACAAGAGAACTCCAGAAGGTAACACCTCCCGCATTTGCAAGATTGTGCGTTCCGCCGTCACATCCAATGTCGTCGGTGCAGTCTGCTGTAGATAGACGTAGCCTCCCACATGGAATCTACGAATTGATGGTCGATAACCTCCTCCCCGAATAGTTGCAAATTGCAATGTATCTCTATGTTGAGCAATCGCAAGATTCTCAAAAGTTGCAGGCATAACTCTCCGAAAGAGCTCTGCACGCTGAAAACATACTCTCATCCACATATTCGGGTCATCAAGGTTCACCACCTCGCTAGACTCACGACAAATCGATGTTGGCAAGTCTAGATCTCGGCCGTACAATAGAAAATATGGTGAGAAGGAAGCCAATGATGCCTGCCGACTGAATCGATATCCCATGGCCAACCATGCTAACTGAATATCCCAGTCCCCAAGATGACCTTTCTGGAGGCCATACTTGCGCAACGCCCTCTTCACCGTCTGTACAACACGTTCAGCTAACTCATACGCCTCTAGATGATCTCGCTACGTGGTCCGGTGATCAATTAGCGCCTTGTTACACAAGACCTGAAACTCACCCTAAAACTCTGTCCCCTGATCGATCAACACCTCAGCCGGTGCACCATAGTGACTAAGCAACCTGTCAAGGAAAGCATATGCTACTCCCTCACTTGCCTTGTCAGGTAATGCCACCAACTCAATCCACTTGGAGAAATGCTCTACCATGACCAACACATACCGATGATGTCGTAAAATCAAAGGTAGGGGTCCAGCAAAGTCCAAACTCCAACGGTAACCCAATCCCATGATGAGTGATGGATGTAACTCTGGTGTCGGAGCATTGAACGATGCCCTCACCCGATCACAAACTATGCAACGTGATACCAACTGCTATATCTAAGTATGCATACCACGCCACCAGAACTAACCAATGAGTAATTTGTATGTACGCGTTACTCCAAAATGTCCCAACTCCTCATGAGCATGCCTCACAATGCGTGCTCTCTGAGCTGGATGTGGTACTACTCGTACCCGACCGTCCTCCCAAACTCGGAGAACATGTGATCCCTCCAATCGGTATCTCTTCGCCCGTTGAAGAACACGATCTCGGTCCTTGGCACCCATTGTGCCTAGCACCATGCTGATCAGTAGGAACTCCAACACCAATGCATCATCGTGAACATCACGCTGATCCACACCACCATCCTCAACCTCAAGATCTGAAGATCGACCATCTATTCTCTAACTAGAGTAAGATGTCAGATGATACTCTCTACTAGAGTTTCCACGTAACCAACACATGAAGGCAGATGCATGCCAACTAGGCACCATCTCCTCGTCAACCTCATCATGCCATCTAGCTCCAATGTCATCCTCCTCGCTAGTGCATGGGTTCCGACTCAAACCATCGGCATCCAGGTTCGCAACTCCGGGTCTATGCACTACCTGAAAGTCGTACTCTTGTAAGATGAGAGCCCACCGTGCAAGCTTCCCTGTGAGCTTGTCAGACTCCATCAACCACTTGAGCGGCTGATGATCAGTAACAAGGTGAATTGCGTACCAAACAAGTAACACCTGAAGTGTGCCACAGCCCACACCGCTGCCAGGCACTCACCCTCGTACGAACTATACCGTGACTCTGCTGCGTTGTTCGAAC